TACAGAAATGTGTCCCTTGGCACATAGGGGGTGACCGTGCAGTGTTGCAGGTAGCTAAGAATAACTACCCTGGGCCTTCCACAGTGAGTTCAGGTTGGTCACAGGAATGCCACCTTTGTGGTGGCTGGTAACCCATTGACCCATTGTCTCTGTCTGTCTCTCTGTGTCTCTGTCTGCCTCTCTCTCTCTCTCTCTCTCTCTCTCTCTCTCTCTCTTTCTCTAGGCCACACCCAGTGATGCTCAGGGGTTACTCCTGGCTCTGCACCCAGAAATCACTCCTGGCAATGCTTGAGGGACCATATGGGATTCCAAGGACTGAACCGGGTTGGCTGTTTGCAAGGCAAATGCCCTCCCTAGTGTACTATCACTCCGGCTCCTCTGCCGTCTTTCTCTTGGCCTCACTAGCTTCCTTTCCTGACTCCTCCACGTGCAGTCAGGATGACTATCCCAAAGCATAGCTTGGGGCCAGGGAGATGAGTCAAAGTGGTGGAGCAATTCAGCGGAGAGGGCACTTGCCTGGCACGTAACTCACCCTTGCTCCACCCCCAGCATCCCGTATGTTCCCCCAAGCCCCACCAGGTGTAATTCCTGAGCATGCCAGATGTGACCTCCCTCCCCCCCAAAAGAAAAACAAAAGCCTAACAGAAAAAGTGCTGGATCTCTCACTCACTCTGCAGGTGGGGGCCCCCTTGCATCAGCATCCCAGGATCCCCTGAGCTCACTGCATATGACTGGGTGTGGCCAAACCCCAGTTCTAGACACCCCTTGCTCACATATCCCTCCCCAGTCACTCTCCATAAGTAATCATGAAGACCTGCACTCAGGCACTAGAAGTAGAAAGGAGGGGAGAGGTGTGAGATAAAAAAAGAGCAGGTAAGGGGCCAAAGCGATAGCACAGCGGGTAGGGCATTTGCCTTGCACATGGCTGACCCAGGTTCGATCCCCAGCATCCCATATGGTCCCCCGAGCACCACCAGGAGTGATTCCTGAGTGAAGACCCAGAGGAACCCCTGAGCATTGCTGGGTGTGACCCAGAAAGAAAAATTAAAAAACGAGCAGGTGAAGTGATGGGAACTGATCTCTGCTCTCATGCTGCCAGGCTTGTGCTGGCTCTGCCATGCCTGTGCCTTGTTTCAGAGCTAAAACCTGATATTCTAGTGGCCCCTCGCAGGGTGGATGCTCCGGATGGATCTAGGCCAGCACAGAAGAGCAAGCGCACGGCCAGGTGGGGTACCACATCAGCTTCCTTGTCCCCCCCTCCCCCCCCCCGCCAAGCGCCACCCCTACAGAGCCCTGACATTTCCTTTGGTGCCGAAAAGCCTCCTAAAGACTTCAGAGACTCCCCTCCCCTCCCGTCTGGAAAATTTTCGCTACTCCTCACTGCCTCCGACTTTAGCATTCTTCACAGCTCCGACTGCAGTGCTGACGTCAGGATGAGAAGCCACAGTCGCTTCCTTTGCTCCAGGGTGAGGTGGGCTCTGAGAAGAGCAACTCAAGCCCTCTGTTCTGAAGCCCTTTCTCGAGATTCTCTTCTTAGTCGTATCTAGCCCCTGGAGTGGCCCCTTTCTTCAGAACTGGAGTGATGCAGAGGCTGCGATGGAAACGCCCCTGGCTCAGGACCAGGAGGCCGAGACTTGCATTCCCAGGGTCAGTCCTGTCTCGTCTGTCACTTAGGGAGTCAGGGAGACAGATCTCTTCTCTCGGCTTCCTATTTTTCCCCTGAAAAGATGAAGAACTGGGACAAAATCATTTTTAAAGGCCTTCCTGTTCTAAAATTATAAAACAGCAATTCATAACATATTTTCTCTCTGCCAGGCTTTGGGCTAGATGAGAGGAATGTTAAAGCGAGACAGGAACAAAATCACTTATTGAGTGGTTAAATATTTTGTGCCACAGTTTGGATAAACCTTTTTCGGTGCAGTGTTTTGATCCACTTGCTGAGGTAAGAATAGGTCTCTCCGGGGCAGAGACACAGCCAGGGGTTAAGGCACACGCATTGCATCCCCCTGACACAAGTTCAATCCTTGGCACCACATGGCCCCGGATATCACTCGGTGTAGCCTGGGAGGCCCCCGAGCACTGTCGGAATGACCCGGGTCATCCCCAGCACTGCAGGGCCCCAGCAGCCCTCCGTCCTTGAACCCTTGCATGGAATGTCCTGCCTGGCTTCTCAGGCTTCCTGAGCACCACTTGGAAGCCTCCTCTGTCATTCATAGTAGAGGCCTAGTGACAACACCATTTCTGGATCCTCCCTCTGTTTCCCCAGATTGAGTTCCTGCTATCTTACATGGACCTAGAGGCAGGGATGTCAGAGCGTCATGTCAGATGCTCTGCCAGCAATAGTGCTGGTGTGGGGCGGAGAGATCCCTCAAGAGACTGAGCTTTGGGGCTGGAGTGATAGCACAGTGAGTAGGGTGTTTGCCTTGCACATGGCCAACCCGGGTCCGATTCTCAGCATCCCATATGGTCCCCTGAGCACTGCCAGGAGTAATTCCTGAGTGCAGGGCCAAGAGTAACCCCTGTGCATCACCGGGTGTGATGCAAAAGAAAAAAAAAAAAGAAACTGAGCTTTGCATGCAGGAGGCCCAGGTTCGAGTCCTTGAGTACCACTGGTGCCTCCCTCCCTCCTACCCTGCCAACCACCAAAAATCTACAGAAACAACTCTCTGCTAAGGCAGGTACTGATTTATTAATTATTGATAGGGGTCTTGCAGGATGCAGAGATAGATTCTCCTCAGAACAAATCATTTTATTGAGTGGCAATACATGTTATAAATTTCTAATACCAGGGCAGAGTACAGATTATTAGACAATTAACCCAAGGGAGCAGAATAAAGAATACAGAAACAGATCCCAGATTTTTGTTTTGTTTTGGGGCCACACCCAGCAATGCTCAAGGGGTTATTCCTGGCTCTGCACTCAGGAATAACTCCTGGAGGTGCTCAGGGGACTCTATGGGATGCCAGGGATCTAACCTGGATCAGCTGTGTGCAGGACAAGTGCTGTACTATTGCTCTGACCTCAGCAGTTCTTGTATGTCTATGGTCACTTAATATAGGACCAAGTTAGCATTGCCTAATGTAATGGTGCTGGGGCAGTTGGACTGCATGATCATGTCTCTTGACTTCAATTTTATTTTCTATATAAAATTCATATAAAAATGAATTGTAGAGACTGGGGAAATAGGTCAAAGGACTAGAGCACTTGCTTTGCACTTGGGATGCCCAGTTCAGTTCCCAGCACTACAGGATCCCCTAAGCACTGCCAGAACAACCCCTGTGCACTGAGCCTGGAGTACCCCCTGAGCACTGCTCAATATGCCCCAAATTCAAAAGCAAAAGTGAAAAAGGAAACTACAGAGAAGATAGCTGCAGGATAATATCTAGAATATAGAAAGAACCTCTATACATCAATAAGAAAAAGGTAGTCAACCCAGGCTGAAAAATAGGCAAGATACTTGTATTGGCAGGTTATGGAAGAGAATATCATAAGGGAAGAGGCGAAGGCTCAATAGACTCAAGGGAATTCACATTAAAACCTCAGTGCAGACGGGGATATGGCTCAAGTGCCCGGCATGTGTGCAAGACTCTGGCTTCTATCCTTGCTGTTGCATTCCTCCTACCCCCATCCCCAGTACCCACAGGAATGAGCCCCATAACTAATAAAGAATTAAAAATTAAAAACATTACTTCAGGACCAGAGCAAGCACAGTGGGCAGGGCACTTGCCTTGCTGATCCGGGTTCAGTTTTCCCAGAAATACATATGGATCCCTGAGCACAAAGCTAGGAGTGAGCCCTGAGCACTGCAGGGTGTGACTCAGCACTGCCCCCACCCCCAGTATATAAAATAAAAACTTCAATGCATTTTCACGTCATTCTTATCAGAAAATCAAAATAAATTAGTGCAAATAAGCCAGGAGATCTGTCTATATAGTGTATAGTTGTCCAGGTTTTCTCCGGGGAATTGGTTCAGAATCTCTCTCTCTCTCTCTCTCTCTCTCTCTCTCTCTCTCTCTCTCTCTCTCTCTCCTGTGTGTGTGTGTGGTGCTGGGCATCAAGCCCAGCTCTTCACACATGCAAAACATTTGCTCTACTGCTGAGCTATATCCCTGGCTTGTTAAGTACCAAAATCTGAAGATATTCATAAGTACCTTATGTAAAATAACACAGTATTTGCAAATAATCTGTATACATCTTCTTGTATGCTTTAAATAACCTCTAGTTTACTTTTATGCCTAAATCAATTTTAAAAGAGCATGTATATGCTTGTTATGCAATATTGTTTAGAGAATAGTAACAAGAAAAATGTCAGTATATGTTCAGTTCAGATTGTCACTGAAAGTTTTATTACATAGTACATTTTTGGTGGGAGATGCTGGGGACCAAACCTAGGACTTCATGCAATGCGAGTGCTCTACCATGAACCACATTCCTGACAGTATTTATTTCTCAGCAGTTGGTTGAATCAGGACCTGTAGTTTTGGAGTCCCAATTGTACTAACTGAAACATATATATGTATGTTCTCCGAGAGGCATATATATATATTCCCCTCTATGATTTGTTGCCTACTGTCTGAAGCCCATCACAAATATGGTGTGGTAATTATGGAAAATGGGTAGGGAGTGTCTTATGATGTGTCCAGAAATGTGTTCACTCATATGTGAAGCTCAGCCCGAGCATGTGGGAAGTGCCCTGGAGCGTGGCAGCAGATAGGTAGTGGAGGTCAGCTGCTGGGGCTGGGTCCCTTGGGGCGGGGAGGGCTCTCACTCCCCCCTCTGGGGCGCCCTGAGTGAAAACAGCCTGGCACGGAGTTCGGTAGCATGGTAATGGGGGCCTCATTTTATGCTCCCTTCCGGGAGAAGCAGTCGTGAGTTCCGGAGGGTGGCTGATAAGGAGATTATCTGGTATGGTATAATAGAGATGGTCTGATAAAGATGGTATGATTAGGATTTCTAGCATAAAATTTTAATTTTCTTCTCTTTTTTTTTTTTTTATGTAGCCTAAGAAGAAAAGGGCAAAAGTGGAAGTGAGACCCATTAATATGGGGACAGATTATGAATATGGGGTGTTAAACATTCACCTGACTGCCTATGACATGGCCTTGGCAGAGAGTTATGCCCAGTATGTTCACAACCTCTGCAATCATCTCGCCATTAAAGTCGAGGAAAGGTATGAGGGGTGTCTTTGCATCGATGTTCTTGGGGTGGGTACATGCTTTTTTGGTACTGTTCAGTAAAGCTTGTGGAAGGGTCAGAGTGATAGCATAGCGGGTAAAGTGTTTGTCTGCACGCAGCCAATCTGGGTTTGACCCCTAGTACCTACACTACTCCAAGCCCGCCAGGAGTGATTTCTGAGTGCAGAGCCAGAAGTAATCCCTGAGCACCGCCAGGTGTAGCTCCAAAACCAACATAATAATAAAGCTGTGAATGTAATAGACACGTGGTAAATTAACTCTTTTGTAGTGTGCAGTTTGCTGTAATTAGAGCATAGACTATTGCCGTTAACAAGGTTGCCATGCCCAGGTGTCAACAGTTTCCTCCTTTACTTCCCTCCAGTCCCTAGTGGTTATTGATTGACTCTATTGCTATTTTTTAAATTTTTCCACTACCCCATGTAACGGATTCAAGTGTGTCACTCTGGCCTTTTTGGCTTAATATTGTGTTTAAGATTCATTAGTGTTTTTGCAAGTATTTTATTGCAGAATTAGAACGGTGGCAGGAATAAGCCCTTAGCACCGCTGGCTATGGCCCCAAAACAAAAACGAAAAACAAAGTAGAATGGTAAGCCTTAATTGACTTCTCTCTTCACCAGCTGATATACATTTGAATTCTTTCCAGTATTTTGATGATTATGAATAAAGCTGCCAGTAGCATTCTCAGATCGGTTTACTATAGGCATGTTTTCTTTTCTCTTAAATATTGTCGTCTAAGAGAATTTGGGGGTGTGTATGTAAATGTATATTTCTTAGAGATGAAAGTCAATTCTTTCCCAGAGTAGCTGCACCACTTTGTATGCCCATCAGGCTGAAGTGATAGCATAGCGGTAGGGTGTTTGCCTTGCACGCAGCCAACATGGCCGACCCGAGTTCGATTCCTCCGCCCCTCTCGGAGAGCCCGGCAAGCTACCGAGAGGATCTCGCCCGCACGGCAGAGCCTGGCAAGCTACCCGTGAAGTATTCGATATGCCAAACACAGTAACAAGTCTCATGATGGAGACGTTACTGGGCCCACTCGAGAAAATCGATGAACAACGGGAGGGCCTTTACTTTACTTACTTTTTACAGTTGCTTCTTACCCTGGCTAGCACCGAGTGTTATAAAATTGCTGAAAGCTATTCTAAGAAATATATTACTGAGGGTTTTAATTTACATTTCTTTAATAAACAGTATAGTTGACCTTTTTTGTTTGTTTTAGTTCACAAGCAGTGATACTCAGGGGTTTACTCCTGGCTCTGCACTTAGGAATCTCTCCTGGCAGTGCAGGGGGTACCATATGGGACGCTGAGGATTGAACCCAGGTCAGCCACCTGCCAGGCAAATGCCCTCCCCCAAATATCCATCACTCTGACCCCTCTTTGACCTTTCTTTTTTTTATTTATTTCATGCATTCAGGTTTTTACTTTGGGCAGGGTTGAGCCACACCTGGCTATTCCCATCAGTGCTCAGGGAACCGTATGGTATTGAGGCTCAAACCCATGCCTCCTGCATCCAAGGCGTGCATTTGCCCCTTTGAGCCTTCTCTCAGCCCCCTTTTTCATGAGTTTTTTATGTGCATATCTTCTTTGATGATATTCCTATTGAAATATTTTGCCCATATTTTTTTGGGGGGTGACCCTCCCAAGCCATGCTTTATGTATTCGGGGTCACTTCTGGCAATACTGGGCTTGGCTGTTTGGGCAGGAATGTTTAAATCTTGGGCTTCTTCGCACAGTGCTGCTTAGGCCCACTGGTTCTGGGCGCCAGCTGGGTCACATCCTGGCGGTGCTTAGGGGCCTCCGCAGCAGTGCTGGGGTCTGTCTGGTGCCAGAAAACCGAACTTGGGGCCTCTAGTATGCCTGGCATACATTCCAGCCTTTTGAGCTATCTCACTGGTCCCTTTTTAATTTGGGCTTTTTTATTCTTTTATTGAGTTATTAGAGTTCTTGTCTGTTTTTTGGATAACAGTTGTTTTCAGTATGCATTTTGTGCCAGGGCTGGAGCAGTAGTACAGTGGATCAGGCGTTTGCCTTTCATGCAGCTGATCCACGTTTGATCTCCAGCATCCCATGTGGTCCCCAGAACCCGCCAGGAGTGATTCGTGAGTGCAGAGCCAGGAGCATTGCCGGGTGTGCTTCCCTCAAAAAACAAACAAAAATTACAGAATTAGCTTATTGATTTCTACAGAAAGCATCCAGGTAGAAGTTTGTTGTCATCGTGTTGAATCTGTTGATCAATTTGAGCAGAATTGACATTCGTTTTTACCCTTCTCTTTCATTAACATGAAGTATCCCTCCATATATCTAGCTTTTTCCTTGCTATTGTGCTTTTCACTTGCTATTTGGAATTGTTGGAAAACTGTAGGGGAAGGAACTAACATTATTAACTCTCTTTTCAAAGCGAGGCATTTTACATATCTTAGTGTTTCGAAAAATGTGGAGTGTCCTGTGGTTTGCCTTAAATAACATTGAATCACATGGTGAGAAATTTCTTTCCTTTTAAATTCTCAACCCAGTTATGTCAAGGAGAAATTCTTGGTATGGTGCTGGTATGTCCCTAACAATGTTTTCACACTTGCTATCTTTTTAGCAGAGACCTAGGGCTCAGAGATTCTGTTAAACACCAGTTAGCAGAATTTTACATTTTGCTTTAGTTATATTTGTTTTTAATTTATCTACTGTTTATGGGAGCTGATACTAACTTTTCATTTGTAGTTGTGATACAGTCTTTATTTTGTGTTTTGGGTCATACCCAACAGCGCTCAGTAGCTACTCCCAGTTCTGTAATCAGGAGAGACTGTGGCGCCGATGATCCAGCCTCAACTCAGCCTGCTGAGTTATCTCTTAGCTCCATGATAAGGCCTTCTTGGCTTTGAGATATAATTGAGGCTTATTCATCTTCAACAATGGTGCTGGAGAAAACTGGGTAGGTCTACGCAGAATAATGAACTCAGATCTCTTTCTAATACACAAAAGTCAAATCAAAATGGAGTACAGACCTTGATATCAGACCTGAATCCATAAGGTACATAGAGGTAAAGATAGGCAGAACCTTCCATGACATTGAAGCTAAAGACATCTTCAAGGATGAAGCAACACTGACCAAGTGAGAAGAAGCAAAGATAAACAAATGGGACAGCATTAAACTAAGAAGGTTCTGCACCTCAAAAGAAATGATGTCCAGGATACAAAGACAGCCCATGGAATGAGAGAAACGATTTACCCAACACCCATCTGATAAAGGGCTTAATAGCAAAGTTTATAAGGCACAGGCAGAACTTTACAAGAAAAACAAATAATCTATCCCCGTCAAAACATCGGGAAAAGAAATGAACAGAAACTTCCTTAAAGAAGAAATACAAATGGCCAAAAGGCACATAAAAAAATGCTCCACATCATTTATCATCAGGAAGATGCAAACCAAAACAACAGTGAGATAGCATCTCATACCACAGAGACCGGCACCATCAAAAAGAACAAGAACAACTCGTGTTGGTGAGGATGCGGGAAGAAAGGGACCCTTATTCACGACTGGTGGGAATACAAACATTCCTCAAAAAACTAGAAATTGAGGGCTGGAGTGATTGTACAGTGGGTAGGGCATTTGCCTTGCACGCGGCCAACCAAGGTTTCATCCCCAGTATCTCATATGGTCCGTGAGCACTGCCAGAGGTAATTCTTGAGTACAGAGCCAGGAGTAACCCCTGAGTATCTCCAGGTAGACTCCCAAAAAGAGCAAAAAAAGACCCTAGAAATTGAGCTTTTCTTAGACCCAACAATACCACTCCAAGCTCCAAAAATGCAGTACAGAAAAGCCATCTGCACTCCTATGTTCATTGCAGCACTATTCACAATAGCCAGAATCTGGAAACAACCTGAGTGCTGAAGAACAGATGAGTGGATGAAGAAACCATGGTGCATCTAGACAATGGAATACTATACAGCCATTAGGAAAAAAATGAAGTCATGAAATTTGTTTTTATGTGAATGGACATGTAGAGTATCATGCTGAATATGCTGAATGAAATGAGTCAGGGAGAGGAAGTCAGAGAGAGGGACAGACATAGAATGGTCACATTCATTTGCAGGATATTGAAAAAAAACATAGTATTAGACTGATGCCTAAGGACAGTAGAAACAAGGACCAGGAGGACTGGTCCATGGTTGGAAGCTTGCTGTAAGTGGAGGTTAGGAGAGGGAGTGAAGTTAGAAGAAAGAAGGGACCACTGTGGTAATGATAGTTGGAAATGATTACTCTAGACGAGAACTGTGTGCTGAATGGAGGTAAAGTGATACACATGATAATCTGCAGTACCTCTATTGCAAACCACATTACCTAAAAGGAGAGACGGAGAGGGAAAGAGGAAGAGAGAAAGAAGAAAATTGTCCTGCCATAGAGGCAGACTCGGGGTGGTGGTAAGAGGGAAATTGGGGGCATTGGTGGTGAGAAATTTATACTGGTGAAGGGAGGAGTGTTGGAACATTGTCTGATTGAAACCCAATCATGAACAACTTTGTAACTGTGTATCTCATAGTAATTCTGTTTTTTAAAAAAGTGAGGCTTACTAAGCTGTAGTTATGTTAATAAAATTCACTCTTTTGGACTAGGGATGTAGTTCAGTGGTACAGTTCATAACTTTATATCGATGAGACCCTGGGTTCAAACCCTGGCATCAGATCCCCACACCTCTACCCTAAACTACCAAAGATCTAACACAAAATTCATTCTTTTATCCAATAGTTGTAAGGACTTGACACATGTACATACATCCTAGTTAAAATACAGGACATTTCCTTTGTTCTGAGAACTCTGTTCCCTTGCACGCGGCCATTATTAGTCAGTCCCTCCACCCACTCCCAAGCTCTGGCAACTACTGATCTGTCCTATGTCCCCACCATTTTGCCAATTCCAGAATATTCTATAAATGGAGTAGTATAGTATTTTTCTTATTGTGATTTTTTTCACTTAAGATGTA